GTTTGTAATGTTTGTAATGGTATTTGTAGTGGAAATCATTCGAATTTCTGTGATGGTTTCTATTGTTTTTGTCAGCAGGGTCACCATGGGTTTTGTTATTTGCCATAAATGCGATAGGATTGCTGTAATATTGTGAGATAGTATAGCGACTGTTTGTAGTTGTGGTGAGCCTATTTGGGAGAAAATTCACGGCCGTTTTTTACTCCCAGTCCGTCCCTGGGTATGAATACTTATGCAATGTACTTTTTTCAGGTTTTTTTGTTTTTAATAAATTTACGAAGTTGTGACAGTTCTGTTTTTGCTTTGCCATTATGGTGTATGGAGTGTAAATTGATGTGGTGAAAAAAGTAATTTAAAGCAGTTTAACATAAGGCAGCCACATAACAAAAGATTTAAAAAATTATATCTTATAAGAATTACGTTTTTTAAATGTATTTTCTTCCAATTGGCGTTTTTGAGCAAAAAACAATTAGCTAATTATTTAAACTTATAAATTCTCTAAAAAATAATGCATATTATTCTTATCTGTCTGCAATTCTCAATTAAATTTACATTGTTTTAAAATTATTTTTGTAGTTTAAGCCAGTTAAGCACATTTATATGCAATTATTGAAACAGAATCATAATATAACCTCTTATAAATTAAACAAACATACTTAAAGTATTTAATTTAAACATACTTAAATTGTTGTAATCCTGCATGGAAACTAGTCTGTCACATTCATTTTTGAAATAATATTTTATGAAGTACACACTACATAAAAAAAAAACTTAGTTTTTTTCTAATAAAAACATCTAAACATCCTTAAATTCTCCTGAGAAGCAAAATGTCCTTAGATATTAATATTCAGAGAGACTTTATGTTAATTTTGTCTTACCCCATTGCTCTGCTTTGTGCTTAAATTTAGAAAGAAAAAAAAAATCAATTAAACTTCCAATTCAAGGAATATCCTCTGATAAGTCTATTATCTACAGTTTTGTTCTCAAATAAATATATCTTCTTTTAAGGACGTTTAGATGTTTTTACTGAAAAAAGAGACTAAAACTCTGCTTAAAGAAGTGATTTTTGCAATGTTGGAGGTTAGTTGATGTTTGTCAGTGGCTCTTGGGTTTGCCCTCACAGAAGTAAGGGTAAGAAAGCATACAGTCTGCATCATTCCACAGCCTCCGTCTGTCCACAGTTACCCGGGCATGAAGCTGCCCACAATCCTCACCATTCACTCGGACATCCCAGTCATCTGGTTGACCTTCGTCCCAGTGGCTGAAACAGACATCAGCAGTTACTTAGCGCATTTGGAGTTGTACCCCATTGACCGCCTCTCATTATTTTATTGGTTCTTACTGTTCAGTAGTACTATAGTCAGTTCCATCTACCCACGTCCACTGTCCCTCTTCTTTCTCAACAAGCCCGATCCAGTAGCTTTCAGACAACTTCACGAATGAAGACAGGAAGACCTGGTTCAAAAAGAGGCCAAACTCACGTTTAACCTCACATAAAGCTCCCACAAATTATTGTGATGTTATGTGTTCTTGTCTTACAAGCTCAGCCAAGTCATTGACAACCACTAAATGTGATCCTTTCTCCACACAGTTTTTCTCAGCAATTTGCCAGTTCTTCTTTACTGAAGACTGAAAGTAGCATGAGTCTTTATAAAACACCCAGTCTTCCTGACAGGGACCTGTACAAACACATTTAAACACACTTAGAATCAAACTGAATTTTAATTCAGGCAGGTTTCCAAGTCCAATATAAACATTTCGCTAAGGAGTAAAGATCAGGAAATACAGTGGGGCCCAAAAGTCTGAATCCACATTTAAAGGGGTCCTATTATGCTTTTTCGCTTTTTTAATTTTAGTCAGTGTGTAGTATGTATGTTTGGGCATAAAAAAGAGCTGTAGCGTAAAATTTTTCGGCATGTCTAGAACAATTCTTACAAATATAACATGACGTAGCTGGGCGCCGCGGACAGACGCCGAACGGCGCCGCCGGTGTGCCTACACTCATAGA